TTTTCCATTTCTCCTTTGTGAAATCAATATTACATTTATCATATTTTAATTGATGGGAAACGAAATACATATGAATGTACAGGTATGCTTATGAGATTAAGCACATAAAAATATACACTATGGTTTATTTCTGTTTTACATAGTAAATAAACTATGCCCTTTGAGATGAACTTATTCAAAATTTGTATGCTAAGGCTCTTTTTCCCTAATAATGCAAGACTGCTAGAGTCTTTTTATCAGCTTGCAAGTGTGCATACGTAAGAAGCAGTTATTTCGTCTAGGATATAAATAGCTGTAATAAATTTCCTATTTCCTCATTTCTTTCTGATGAAATATATTTCAATGCCAGCTGGATTATAACCTCCAAATAACTATTAAATGCCTGAACACAAGTAAATGCTAAAGAGCTTTAGAGTTTTGTTATAATTGCTCATAGATTTTTTTATAAATATTCACCCAATAATTACTGTTAACTTCTTATACAAAAAAAAATAGCAAAGAGTAAAGGGAGAAGCTGATTGCTTAATAAGTTTCCCTTAGTCCATAAAAAGAACTTTAGAGCAAAAGAAAATTCCACAGAATAATAATATAATATTTATAAAGAGTTGACAAATTTTTACATATACAAAATTTCACTGGGAACTCAGGGCAACTCTATTCTTACTTTGTTCAATTTTGCAATCATAGGTGTGTTCACACAATATCGTAATTAGTTGTTTATATAAAAATGTCCCTTTTACTCCTTACAGTGAGGGCCTGTTATATCCATTTTTTTATTCTCAAAGGTAAGCCTGTATTAGGTTAAAGTTAAGGAATGTTCGTGGTTTGACTGATTGATTAGTTGGTTTAATCAGTGAAAGGAAACTGAGGCTTAGAAAATTAATGACTTGCTTGAGATCACACAATAAGCCATAGAGTAGGATCTGAAGCATTTTGTGTTTTGGCTACATGTCTAGAGATTTTTCTTTTATTTGTTTGAAAATCTCATATTTGGCTTTTCATTCCACCTATTTGTTTGGCATATAATGGAAGAGAGTCATCTACCCCCCACATTAATAATGATGACGGTCATATTGTTTTCTCTACTTCCACAAAAGCCTATCAAGATGCCATACCAAACCAAAATGTGACTTTCACTGGCTCATACACAAGACCATTTTATAAAATGTCTTTATACATCTATACATGTATAAAATTATATATTGTATTTATGAAATTAAATCCCTGCTTTAAAAATAAAAAATACATGTATGTATCTATCTATGTACCTGCTTGGAGCCCTGGTGGTGAAGTGGTTAAGAGCTCGGCTGCTAACTAAAAGGTTGGCAGTTCAAATTCACCAGCCGCTCCTCAGAAACCCTATGGGGCAGCTGTACTCTGTCCTATAGGGTCACAATGAGTCGGAATTCACTCGAAGACAACAGATTAGGTTTGGTTATGCATTTGCTTAATGTTTGTACAGTTGCTTTTGTATCTTTATGAAATTTTATATACATAAATTAAAAACCAAACGAGTTGCTGTTGATTCCGACTTAGGGCAACCCCATGTATGTTGAGTAGAAATGCACTCCGTAGGGTTTTCAAGGCTGTGACTTTTCAGAAGCAGATTGCCAGGCCTTTCTTCCAAGGCACCTCTTGGTGGATTAGGTCTGTTATATTTTTAGCATTGTCTGTTTCAGGAACACAGTAAATATTTAACAGCTCTGTGTATAAATAAGTAGAAATTATAATGCTTAAGGTATATTCAAGCCATTCAAATGTGCATTTCTCAAAGAGGCTTTCTCTTACCAGTCTGTTCTCTACACCTTAGATCTTTTTTTTGTTCTGAGTTCCATGAAGCAGAGGGCAGGGATTTAGTTTTGCCCATACTATATCCCCAACATGTACAACCGACCTTGGCACATATTAGGTGTTCAAAAATATATGTTTAATATCTCTGAATGCATTTCTTTAGCTTGGTAACTCTTCTCTCTCTCTCTCTCTCTCTCTTTCCAACACCCCCTCCTTTTTACTCACCAAATATTAATATAAAAAAGGTAAAATCATATCTATTTACTTACTCGCTTAAAACAAGTATTTAAGCCGTTTTTTCTAAAATACAAACTATATATAAATTTACAAAATTTTAGAAAATATGTTAACAAATTCCTAACACTAAGACATAAATTATCCAACTCATCAAGTTAATATTCATTTTTCTCAAAGTTCTGAATCACATAGAATTTCATGACATTTCACTTTTTTTTAATTTGTGGGGGATGGGCAGAGGGATAGAGTTCATTATAGCTGTCTGAAATTTTATTTATACATGTATGCAGACTACAAAAAGAATCCCAGTATTACTGGGCCTTCAAGAAAGTAAGTAGCTTATTAAGGCTTCTAGTCTTGATTCCACCTAAAATATCCAAGCATCATGATTATCTGTGATACTATCATTTTATGCCCCTAAAACAATTAAGGATTATATAAATGTATTACATATATCAATAAGTTAAATATATCAAATAAATTAATATAAATATTTAAACTTTCCTTGGAATGAACATCACGTTACCAATTTGTCTCGATGCTTCGTCACAATTGCTTCCAAGAACTATTTTTTATCTAGTCTCTTCTCTGTAAAACCATGGGATATTTACTTAGATTTATCCCTCTGAACACATCTTTTTATATTTGTAGATTGATATTAAGGCGAAGCACAACATTAAAGTGTTCGGACAGTTTTCCAAATTTAGTCAAACTAGTTTAAGGGTATCTTATAGTAAAATATGCTTAGATGTTTGAATGAATTCCATTTGGGCAGTTCAGACACTTTTTAACCATCAACTCAAAGTTTTCTACCAAAATAAATTAAAACTATTTTTTAATCAATTATTGGTGGATACCTTTTTATAAATCTTTGTATCATTTATATCAGCCATCATTCTGCTACTATAATGTGTCCATTTTTTTTAATATAACTATGCAAAAATTCAACTGTAACTGACTAATGCTAAAACTAAAACAGTGTTTTCTAGATCAAATGAGTGTTAACATACTTCAGCATCTTTTAAATAACATTTTGGATATCTGATTCATGGGGCATTGCTCAACATTACCATAGCTGTTTCCAGGCAATCACACAAGTGAGTCAGTCAAGATGACTTGCAAATGTCCCTAGTGAACCTCACATACACTTTATGATTTGTCTAGGAATTTTGGATGGTATTTCTGTTTTCTCACTGCAAGTGTGCATTGTGATAGCATATAAATATAAAATAACAAAATTATTTATTTCACAAATATTTTATAGGCTATTCATAAAATCTCAGAATTCAAGCAAAAATAACACATTGAATAACACATTTTCTATACTTTTTATACTAAGCAATTTGAACCTTCCATTTTAAAATGTTCTGTTGTCCTACAGTGTAAGCCTTAATTACTTAACTAATTAATATCATAAGTGATTCTTAAAAGAAGAAAAATCATTGGCCACAAATCTTTTAAGTGGCTGCTTAATGAAGATTTCACTTTTTTTTTCTTTAGCCATTGCTCTGTACTAAAGCAATATTTAGTGTGAAAATCCCATATCTGACATAAAATTTAACTTATTTGTATTCTGATAGTTGAAAGTCACGAATCTTTTTTTTAAATCTTAAATAGTGTTTACATTGTTTTCCTGATACATAACTATCACGTTTACCCATTTTATTACAACTTGGCATATAAAATAATGAATGCAGCATTAAACGATTTATAAAAGAAAGCTTCTAAAATGCTAAACATTATTTTGAAGAATATGCTTATTAATATCTTCAAATTTGCAAATGTGTCTACATACACGCAAGCAAACATATACACATATGGATAGAAGTACATACGAAGTTACATTAGGTCTTTGGAATGCACAAATTTAAAATCTGGAGTTTTGACCATTTGCTGCAGACTAAAAATGTCCATAACATGTAGTTATTTGTGACTTTGTTGAAAAAGACATTTCAAAAGCTTACAATGGTGTGAGAAACTAGTTACTTAGCTACCAAATGAACCTTCTGGAAAGGCATCTCAACAGGGTTTTGGTTACTCTCATTTGGTCTTACTCGAAGTAATTCAGAAAGAAAAAAATCAAATTTTAGTAAACATGATGTTAATATCACTACACTAATAATATAGTCCATTTAAGGTGGCAACTTTTGTTTAAATTACTTATGACTTTATAATATATAAAGAAAGTCATGTCTGTAAAATAACTTCTGTTTACATAGAAGTGTATCCTGGAACATGTTTTTAAACTTAGAGATTTTCTAAAATCTCAAGACATACCTCTGGTGAATGCTAAGAGTTTGCTTTATAAGGACTGTATACTAGAATGACAATACTATACTAAATATTCTGCTTTTTATTACATCCATTTAAAACATGCTCAACCATCTATAGCACAGCTTACAGTTAATCACATAAAATTGAATTTTTCAACATCATTTTTCATGGAGAATTATTATTTCCAAGTGAATATTTCTTCTATGGATGATAACTGAGCATTCTAATTATAAATGTCTACATGAATTGCTGGAACCCATAATAAATAACTCTAAAGGGTCAAAGAATCATAGAAGCAACTGGCGATTTTTATACTGGAATAGCAAAGCAGATTTTCAAAGCAAAGTGTATAAAGCTATCTACATAGGCAAGCAAACAATCTATCAAAGAGCAGGTTTGCTCTGTTTCTGGCAAGATAAGGTAAAGCAAAACAAAAACAGTTCATGAAGAAAACCTTACTAGGCCTATGTATTCTGCAATGTCTTTGCAAGTAACACATTTGTAACATATTTTGCTGTCAGAGAAGAAAACAGTCCCTATTTCTCAGTATATGCATGCACAGTAAATTCCTGCTATGTCATAGATACTCAGAACGATGTAGTTCTAGAATTGAATAATCTGAGTTAGCTAAAGTTCTGAAATATTTTGAAATATGGGGATTACTAAAATGTAAAATTGTATAACATATGTAAACTCACCCTTCTAATCTTACATCCGGCAGACTTCTGTTAAGGGCAATCAAATCACTGGCCATAAGGTTAAATTGATTGATTTTAAACAGCTCTTTCATTTTCTCCTGGTCATCTTTAGGAATCAGCACAGCCTTTCCCATTTCTCCTGGCCCTTCTTGGTTCCTTGAAATAACAGCTGAAAAACACACACAGATACACACATACACACAACACACAAATAATGAACTGAGTAAATAAACTCAAACTTTGAGATTAGATACTGAAGTCTATTATTTACATACTGGTTTATTAACCAAATCATCAACCTGTTATTGCTTACTTACAAACCATACACTACAGTAAAGAGACAAGCTATTTCAATTCATTAGCTCACTGATGCTTGTATAGGTAGATTATGATCTGGCTAGTTAGTAATACTTAATAAGTAATTAATACAAAACAACAAAACTTAAAGCTTCTTAGTCATGTTTGCCAATCTACTTATTAGAGAGAGAGAAATTCTGCACTGAACAGACCAAACTGAGCAACATAAAAGAGAACTTTTGAAAGTATACCAAGATTAATTTATTTTCATTTCCAATGAAATGCTTCAATAGTTTACATATTTATTGCCATTATATCTTTATAAAAGCAAGCAAGGTTGATGATTCTTTCTCCCCACAGAAATTTGATTCATTTTTCAAAGCATTTAAAAATAGGTAAAAAATAGTTTCATGGTGGTGACATACAATTTCAAATATCAGGTTGGATTTGGATAATATGTGCTCCATAGTAGTAACTTCAAAACAATAGTCTGGGTTTGGATGTTCAGTAAGAGAAATCAGGGTTCTTGATATACAAGCCAATGTTCTTGTTATTTCCTCCAAGTTATCACTACACTCAAGATCCTTCTAAATACATATTTACATATGTGTGTGCACATGTCTGTATGTACATTAACAGCTAATAATAAAGCAAAGTCGTAGTTAATCCCTAACGTGTCCTAATCTACCCTTTAAACCATTGCTGTCAAGTCACTTCTGACTCATTACAACCCAGAGGACAGTGTGGAACTGCCTCCATAGGGTTTCCAAGGCTGTAATATTTACAGAGCAGACCGCCACATCTTTCTCCCGCAGAGCAGCTGATGGGTTTGAACCACGGACTTTTCGGTTAGCAGCCGAGTGCTTAACCACTGAGCCATGAGGGCTTTTTCAATTTACCCTTTAAGTGATATTAAATTAGTATAAAATGCAAAGAATGTAATTCTGGTCCTACTCTTCCAGTGTTTAGTCAGTTTGCCATTCTGTGGTGGCATGCATGTTGCTATGATGCTGGAAGCTATGCTACCAGTATTTCAAATACTAGCAGGGTTACCCATGGTGACCCGTTTTCAGTGGACCTTCAAGATTAAGACAGACTAGGAAGAAAGGCCTGGCAATCTACGTCCAAATGTAAGCCAATGAAAACCCCATGGATCACAACAGAATACTGCCTGATAAAATGCTGGAAGATGAACTCCCCGTGTTAATAGGGTGGTGCAGGACAGGATAACTTTTATTCTGTTACATGTAAAGCCATTACGAGTCGAAGCTGACTTGATAGTAACTAATAACAACAATAACAACACATTAATATTACTGAATTCAATTTCCAAATATTTAAAACAAGGACAAATATTGGATCCATCCTACCCTCGAGAATTGTAAAAGAATGAAAGATAATAATGTGTGTGAAAACCATTTGTAAATTACAACATTTACTAAAAACATAAATTCTAAAATAATATAAGAATATATTCAAAACTAGGATAGGACATAATAAGGAAACTTTCCTCTGACTTGACCTGCATAGTTACAGGACATTGAGAGCATTAGAACTAATATATAATTGATCATCCATTTGATTATAGATAGAAGTTTATCATGACTTTGCAATGCCATGAGTCAAATTATAAAAGAGTAAAGGCATTTCTAAGGACCTTCAGATATGGTCAGCAGGAAGATGATTAGCCTAGAAATCTTCTCATATATAGAAAAACGGTAATAATTGGGAAATTTTAAAATGGAAAAGAATATGTATCTAACCTTGAACTGTTTCAAAGATTCCCATATAAACAAAGTCTGGGAAAAGTCTAATACCACTTCAAGACCCCAAAAAGAAATAATGGCAGGAATTATATGAGAAGGCATATTTTGCTCTAAGGAAGGGAGAAAATTTTAACAGTGATAATTTACCTTGGAAGTTAGTAAGCTTATCATCCCTAAAATTAGATGCAGTTGTTGGAATTCACTTTGGGTTAATTTGTGCTCTTGGTAAAAGGGTGGACTTAGATAGGCATTAAAGTACCTTCCACTTCTAGAATTTTTTTTTTTTAATTTTGATTCCACAGATAGTGTTAACAATTAATTTTTATAGTTCCCTCAGGAGTTCTTATGATTCTGAAGTGAAGAACATAATTGGACTACACGACATCTCCTATTGACCACTGATACTGAATTTAGATTTTTTTTTTTTTTGAACGTATTCTGGTGTGTAACCTTAATTGCCAAAAAAAAAAAAAAAATAGGATTAATAGTTTTTTTATTTTGTTTTTCCTGGTAATATTTTTTAATACATTAAAGAATTTTAGGTGAAAGAATTTTGGGTTAGATTCTGTTTTTTAGAACTTTTAGAAATTAAGAAAGCAATTCACCCTTCACAGTTCTTTACAATGCCCTCCAAAAACATCAACAAAAAAGATTATATTGCAGAGAAAGACACCAGGGTCAGCATGATGCTTTCAAGGCTTGGAAGAGAATAAGATTAAGCTTTTACTCTATGTGGAAAAGATGTGAGGCTCAACTACAACATTTTAGGGCATGAAGATCAAGTTAAGGCACAAAAATAGTATTTGGTATTTGCAGTATTTTCAAAGTTCTGACCATACCCTTTGCTTAGTATGATGAAGACAATAGTTTTGTCACTTGTAGTTGGAATAAATGTATCATGTTATATTATCATTAATAAAAATAAAATTGTCATAAAACAGTAGACTCATACCTAGAACTAGTTTGTAAGTAAACACATGTAACCATTATCCTTAATCATTCTCAATGTCTTGATGGATAATAACAGCTTAATGTGTATCAGGTTAAGAGTCTTCTCCCAGAGTTAAATACATTTCTCTACAATAGCCTCTAATGGATGCATATTTTAGATTTTATAAAATGATTTTCTTGTACATGAGAAGACCTATTCGTGTTTTTCACCTTGCTCAAGCAAAAAGAATGCTAAGTAATTATAGTGTGGAACCAACCTTATAATTTTTCTGGCTTTTACTTGAAAGTATGCATCTTGCTAAAAGAAAACAGTTTTTTTTTTTTCCCTTCCTTTCAAATAACATAAATAGGAAATGGAAAAGAATAAGCAATTGGGCTATGTGGTTTATCTGATCTACAGGCACCTTGAAATAGCAGCTCTCATTCTTTTTGTTCACCTGTTGATTTCTTCCCCCTACATAGCTTAAAAAAAAAAAAAAAGACCACCTACAAAATATCATGATCCTCTGCAGCTTAAAAAGGAGGTCTGGTGGCACAGTGGTTAAAGCACTCGCTTGCTAACCAAAAGGATGACAGTTTGAACCCACAAGCTGCTCCACAGGATAAAGACGTGGCAGTCTGCTTTTGTAAAGATTTACAGTTTCAGAAACCCTATGGGACAGTTCTAGTTGTCCTATAGGGTTGCTATGAGTCAGCCTCGACAGCGGTGGGATTATTTTTCTACGGTTTAAAAAAAAAAAAGAATTGTCATTGATATCAGATATATCCATGCTACTTATCTACTCTCATAACCAGCTGCCTTCCAGTAGAACCTGATTCACGGAAACACTATTTGTGTCACAGTACAACTGTGCTCAGTAGAATTTTCAGTGACTAATTTTTCAGAAGTAGATCACCAGCTCTTTCTTCCAAGGCACTTTGGGTAGATTCAAACCTCTAACCTTTTGGTTGGCAGTTGAGCACATTAACCTTTTGCACTACCCAAGGATTCCATCTAATCTCACAAGCAAATGAAATACAGAAGGCAATTAAAGTATGGATTTTTGAGAGGCAGGGCCAAAATGGCAGAGTAGTCAGATGCTTCTGGTGGTCCCTCTTAAAACGAGACTCAAAAAAACAAGTGAATCGATTATATATGACAATCTAGGAGCCCAGAACATAAAAGGCAAAGTTGAGGAATTGGACTGAGTGGCAGGAGGAGGGAGAGATGGTTTGGAAGCAGCGAGGAGTTGTCAGACCTGACCCAGAAGGAGCCGGAGCCTTTCAGGCCGGATCAGCTAATGTTGCATGGTGAGGCAAGCAGCAGTGCTCAGAAGGCACTTTTCACATCAGGAGAGACCCAGGAGCAGAGAGTCTATTCGGCCATCCATAACCAGTGAGAAGCAGCCCTCAATCCACGAAAGATAAGTACTTGTGTCTGGCCTACTGCATGGATCAAAAACATCCCCCTTAGGGAAAAAACTCTCTCCCATTTACCTCCTCGATCCCTGCTCTGCACTGGGTCTGGTAAGGCTTCAGTGATTGCTGAGACCCCTCGTCCGGAAGTAGGATCCGTCATGCACCCTGAGCCACTCTCCCAGCCTTGGAGAGGGAACAAATTAGCAAACGGGGAAAAATAATCTGCTGGCTCCCTAAGCCAGGAACTCAGGGTAGGTACAGCTCCTTTGCCTAGGCACAAGCATAAGGGGTCCATGGACTTTGAGTGCCTTTCCCCCTGCAGAGACTTGTGTGGGCTGATTTCACCAGTGCAGGCCCTCATTACCACAGTACAACAGGGTATGTACATGAAGTCTAACTTCAACTGTTTCAGCTGTGAAGCAGAAGGTTCATGACATTTGAAACTGCTCTGCCCATTAAGCAGGATCCTCACCTACCCATATCAGGGGCCTGAGGACTGGTGGCTCTACCCATACCACCTAACCACCTGCGACAGAGGCCCAAGAATAAGTAGTGCCCCACAGTCCTTACACCCAACATCATTGGGTACTTACAGTCTGGCTGCAAAACCCACACACCTATGCACTCTAGCCAACAGGGACATGCTTTCCTTCCAGATACTTGGGGGCAGCCGTCGGCCCCCTGCCTTGCTCAGCGTGTGAACCCCTGCTGCAGCCAGCTGCCTGTGCCTACACCTATCATCCATGCCTGTCTAGGA